TTTTTAAAGTTTATTCCTAAAATTTCCAGAAGAGAGGGTTTTGTCAGGCGCCTTCCATAACGAAGTGCTGGGCTATTGGGTTAACTTTGCAAATTAATATCCACTGAAAAGGAAGAAAAGCATGGCGCAAGTTCAGACACAGCACCTTGGCCACTCTACTGTTTTTGCATCTTTGGCTTTTTTCTGCTTAGCAGAACTGTGTTTTTTCCCTAGCTCTTCTAAGTTTGACCTCTGGTATTCCAAACCTTGACTTAGCAAAACTGACTGCTCTTTCATATTGTTGGCCTTATTCCTATGGCCAAATATCCTTGCTTTAGGTTCAGCTCTGTTTCTGATCCAAACCTAGTAACTTGACTCTCATTTCTGATCATGAACTTGATCCTGAGTCTGACCATTTGGACCCACCCTCCATCACCTCAATGTGTATTAATGCAAGCACAAATGCTCTGCATCATATCCACTACCTGAACTCAAACAACTGCTTCATAACCCAAGATGACTTAAAGGAGCAAAATAAACATAACAAACAATATCAACAGTATCTTTCCTTGGCAAAGAAAGATTAATTCCTGAAAGATAATGTGCAGATCCAAGAAAAATACAAAGGAAAATATTGTGAGAATTAGTTTACATATAAATGTCAGAAGAGAAAAATTTAATTATAGAATATGTGTAATAATAAAGGCTGAGTGTACATGTTTTCCCCTATTTTAAACTAAGCACAAAGCTCTTCAGTAGTATTATGTAAATTTATGTAGTAGCAGTTAGTAGATGTCCTATCTGATTGAAGAGGGGGAAAAAAAATCCCTCTCAATTAAAAATACTTCAGCCTCAATTGATCCTAATTAGGTAAATAGTATTTAAATTAAGCTAAAATCAAAGGCAAACTAGCTGAAAATGTATGTTTGGATAATTATCGAGAATCAACTTCATACAGGTAAATCCAATTTTATATTCGTTTTGTTGCGTTTGAAAGCAGATACTCATCTTCTCTATCAGTTTTACTTTCTTTGTACCACTTGCTACTATTTAAATATATATTATTTGTTTGTTTACTTGTTCATTTCTATCTTCCCCTACTAGAGTATTAACTCCGTGAAGGTTGGGACTTTATCTGTTTTGTTCATCACTCTTATTTCCAGTGCCTACAACAGTAACTGCTATATACACAGTAGGCTTTCAGTAAGTTTCTCAAATGAATCAATTAGTGGATGTGCCGCTTTGATTCAATTCTTACAAAATTAAAAACAAACACAGTTATCCAAGAAGACCAAGAAGCCACGAACACCAACAGTATTTCATAATACGTATCAAATAACTGCTCTAATGACTGAAGTTGGTAATAAAGGGGAAGGTCAGGAGTAAGAGAATTTAGAAATCATTTGACTAGAAAAAAAAAAGTTGATGTTTTCTCCCCACCCAGCTCCGTGGATACTCTGAATACATATGACATTTAAAATACTAATCAACATCTAAACAATTCCCAAATCTCTTTTTCACATCCTTTAATTCCAAAGTTATTTTAGAAATGTTAAGAAAATGCCAATTAATTAATACCACCTAACTTCTTATAAGCACTGGCCTCCAAATAGATTTTCATTAGAAATCATTTCTCATTTGTCAGTAGAGATACCTGAAGTGTTGGTGATATATGAGAATGAAATCTGTATCTGATTCCTTTTTAGGAGAAAGGGTGAAATGCTTCAAAGCAAGAACAATGCAGCTCTTGAAAACCAATTGGAAAGCTGCAGAGAGCTACAGCTTCCCATGTTCAGGATAATATTATTTTTACCTTGTTCTTTTTTCCTCCACAGAGAGGAAAAAGAATACACACACACACTCATACCAAGGAAGAAAACTTTCCATTTATATTCTCTCCCGACACTGAATAGCATAGCCAGCAACTGAATGTAATCTTATAAGGGACAGAGATGCACAGACACAATGATTCCGATTTAATAATGCCTAACATAATATAATTAGTATTTTAAGCAACTACTTAATTATAAAATATAGCTGGCAAGATTTTTTTAGTGTTTAATACTGGAACCTTTAATATTTGAAGGTAATTGCAAGAGCAATTTGAAATTAATAATAACAATTGCCAAAATTTTAGTGACTCAAAATTAAAAGTTATAATAATGACTAAGATTTATTGAGAGCTTACTACATGCCATACACTATACGTTCACACTTCACACAAATTGTCATTTCTTCTTCACAGTGATCGTATGAGATAGGTACTATGATCTCTCTTTTACAGATAAGAAAATGGAGATAGGACCACAACCAAGTGGGATTTATCCCTGGGCTGCAAGGTTGGTTCAACATCTGCAAATCAATCAACGTGGACAATACATTAACAAAAGAAAGAGCAAGAATCATATGATCCTCTCAATAGATGCAGAAAAAGCACTTGACAAAGTAGAGCATCCTTTCTTGATCAAAACTCTTCAGAGTATAGGGATAGAGGGTACATACCTCAATATCATAAAAGCCATCTATGAAAAACCATCAGCGAATATCACTCTCAGTGGGGAAAAACTGAGAGCTTTCCGCCTAAGGTCAGGAACATGGCAGGAATGTCCACTATCACCGCTGCTATTCAACATAGTATTAGAAGTCCTAGCCTCAGCAATCAGACCACAAAAAGAAATCAAAGGCATCCAAATCGGCAAAGAAGAAGTCAAACTCTCACTCTTTGCAGATGATATGATACTTTATTGTGGAAAACCCAAAAGACTCCACCCCAAAACTGCTAGAACTCATACAGGAATTCAGTAAAGTGGCAGGATATAAAATCAATGCACAGAAATCAGTGGCATTCCTATACACCAACAACAAGACAGAAGAGAGACAAATCAAGGAGTCAATCCCATTTACAATTGCACCCCAAACCATAAGATACCTAGGAATAAATCTAACCAAAGAGGCAAAGGATCTGTACTCAGAAAACTATAAAATACTCATGAAAGAAATTGAGGAAGACACAAAGAAATGGAAAAACGTTCCATGCTCATGGATTGGAAGAACAAATATTGTGAAGATGTCAATGCTACCTAGAGCAATCTACACATTCAATGCAATCCCCATCAAAATACCATCAATTTTTTTCAAAGAAATGAAACAAATAATCCTAAAATTTGTATGGAACCAGAAAAGACCCTGAATAGCCAGAGGAATGTTGAAAAAGAAAAGAAAAGCTGGTGGCATCACAATTCTGGACTTCCAGCTCTATTACAAAGCTGTCATCATCAAGACAGTATGGTACCGGCACAAAAACAGACACATAGATCAATGCAAAAGAATAGAGAGCCCAGAAATGGACCCTCAACTCTATGGTCAACTAATCTTTGACAAAGCAGGAAAGAATGTCCAATGGCAAAAAGACAGTCTCTTCAACAAATGGTGCTGGAAAAATTGGACAGCCACATGCAGAAGAATGAAACTGGACCATTTCCTTACACCACACACAAAAATGGATTCAAAATGATTGAAAGACCTCAATGTGAGACAGGAGTCCATCAAAATCCTAAAGGAGAACACAGGCAGCAACCTCTTCGACCTCAGCCACAGCAACTTCTTCCTAGAAACATCACCAAAGGCAAGGGAAGCCAGGGCAAAAATGAACTATTGGGATTTCATCAAGATAAAAAGCTTTTGCACAGCAAAAGAAACAGTCCACAAAACCAAAAGACAAGTGACAGAATGGGAGAAGATATTTGCAAATGACATATCTGATAAAGGGCTAGTATCCAAAATCTATAAAGAACTTATCACACTCAACACCCAAAGAACAAATAATCCAATCAAGAAATGGGCAGAAAACATGAACAGACATTTTTCCAAAGAAGACATCCAAATGGCCAACAGACACATGAAAAAATGCTCAATATCGCTCGCCATCAGGGAAATCCAAATCTAAAACCTCAATGAGATACCACCTCACACCAGTCAGAATGGCTAAAATTAACAAGTCAGGAAACGACAGATGTTGGCGGGGATGCGGAGAAAGGGGAACCTCCTACCCTGTTGGTGGGAAGGCAAGCTGGTGCAACCACTCTGGAAAACAGTATGGAGGTTCCTCAAAAAGTTGAAAATAGAGCTACCATATGATCCAGCAATTGCACTACTGGGTATTTACCCCAAAGATACAAATGTAGGGATCCGAAGGGGTATGTGCACCCTGATGTTTATAGCAGCAATGTCCACAATAGCCAAAATGTGGAAAGAGCCAAGATGTCCATCGACAGATGAATGGATAAAGAAGATGTGGTATATATATACAATGGAATATTATGCAGCCATCAAAAGGAATGAGATCTTGCCATTTGCAACGACATGGATGGAACTGGAGGGTGTTATGCTGAGTGAAATAAGTCAATCAGAGAAAGACATGTATCATATGACCTCACTGATATGAGGAATTCTTAATCTCAGGAAACAAACTGAGGGTTGCTGGAGTGGGGGTGGGGTGGGAGGGATGGAGTGGCTGGGTGATAGACATTGGGGAGGGTATGTGCTATGGTGAGCGCTGTGAATTGTGCAAGACTGTTGAATTACGGATCTGTACCTCTGAAACAAATAATGCAATATATGCTAAGAAAAAAAAAAAAGAAGATAGCAGGAGGGGAAGAATGAAGGGGGGGAAATCGGAGGGGGAGACGAACCATGAGAGACGATGGACTCTGAAAAACAAACTGAGGGTTCTAGAGGGGAGGGGGGATGGGTTAGCCTGGTGATGGGTATTAAAGAGGGCACATTCTGCATGGAGCACTGGGTGTTATGCACAAACAATGAATCATGGAACACTACATCAAAAACTAATGATGTAATGTATGGTGATTAACATAACAATAAAAAATTTAAAGAAAATGGAGATGGGTATTAATTACTCGCCCAGGAATATGATGATAGTAAGAAGTGGAATAGGGATGCAAACCTAAGCAATTTCATAGACTGAAACTTCTAGTAATGTATCCATTCCTAATAAACCTTACCAAAAAATGATGGATACAGGGCAAGAGCACAATATCTGCCAAAGTGAAGTACAAGCCCTCTGCAAACACATGCTCCAGAGGAGGAAGGTCAGAGGCTTTTGCTTTTCTGATATGAGAAGGCTCCCTGTTGGTGGTAGCTGGTTCTTCGCAGACTGTGAGCTTTGAGAATGCCACCTTCAGTTCCAGGCTCTCGGATGAAGAGTCCAATTCTTCAGACAGTTCTTGTCTATGCATCTTGCTCTTTGGTTTTTCCTTAGCAAGGGAAGGCCCAACCCCAGCAGCCTTCTGTTGCTTCAGCTTCTGCCGACGGAGTTTGTCATCATTATGCACTCTAACGGGCTCCCTAAGCTTTTTCTCTAACTGTAGTATTTCCGCGGGGATAGCTGGGTGCTGGTCAGAAGATTCTTTGAGAAAATTCTCAATAGCTAAAGGGATGGTGAGTTCGCATAGCCTGGTCCACTGACTAACCTGCAAAACAAAATAACAGAAGAAATGAAGGGAGTCTTTACTTTCAACATAGCTTGAAGAAAACTTTCTATTGGGAAATAAGACTGGTTTTGATGATTGAAGCTCAGCCATCCCTGGACTAGGTTTTTATGCTATATCAAGGGACATATTACAGTGCTTTAAAAATGATAACACTAAACAACAGGTTAGCAATCCTATACCTGGAATACATGCCATCCTCCTGCATCCTCTTACTGAATAAATCCTTCCTTCCCAAAGCCTTTGAAGGACATGCATCCCTAAAAAAGTCAGGCTTTCAAAGCACTGCTACTTGAGCTCCTATTCATGTGTAAAATTTCCTTTAAAAGTTCTCAATTAAAACAAAAAATAAAAAAAGAAGTCATTCTCTAAAAATAATGTCCCCAAACCTCACAAAATAAATCTTGAATTCTTATTTTTCAATGCTGCACCTCAAGTATTGGCATACATGAGGGGCTACTTTATTTCATTGTTGACTAGAGATTTCTTAAGCAAGCAGGATTAAATTCATCTCCCACAGAAAGTTAAAATAAATGTTCAAGTGAATGTGTTATCACTTTATGGCTTTTAAGTAACAGAAGAGCCATCATACTTACTTCAGCACAGGCTTTCAAGCAAGTCTTCTTAAAACCCAAAAGTTCCAAAATTTCCTTCTTGGAAGGGTCAGCTTCGTATGATTTCTGGATTATGTGTCTCAGTACGACAGCAAGTCCTGCTCTACAGAAATTGTCTGGTTTTTCCACTACTGCAGGTAAACAGCAATTCTGGACTATTGGTGGAAGCTCTTGTCTTGAAATAATTTGTAGTTCTACATCCTGGAGCACTACATTTTTTAATGAAATATCTGTACTTGCTCCAGTGAGGACTAAGCAAACTTTAAAGATTTTGCAGTCACAGTATGACAACAAAAACAAAGTTACAGATGTATGAAGAGGAAAGATGCATCCTTCTATTTGGTGAGAAAAGTCCAAGTATAGGTATTCTTCTGTAAGACTTTTCTTAATGCCTTTCATTTTCTTCTTTCATTGGGTCACCTGCAGCATAAATTGAAGTGGTTACAGGCCTTAAATATAGTAATTTAGAAGCTAAAAGACAAATATTTAAAAACTTTTTCTAGAAATCAGCAAGGATTTGTGATAGATACGATTCCATGAGAATTTGTTCCTCGACTGAATAAATGGCTTCCAAAAGAAAGATTTCCACCTGGTGCAATTAATTAGTCTTGGGGGGATATTCACCAAGCTCCTTTAAAATAAGCATACCTCAGGTGCTTAGCAATAGAACCCTCCCAAATCAAGTACATTGGGGTCTCACTACAGGTAAGAAGAGGAGATGAATAAAATGAGAAGCAAATAACCAAGAATACTAGGAGTTGTCTGGAGAAGCTTTGGCAATGTTTGTCCTCCTACACTACTACTTCTCTTTTTACTCTACAACACAGTCATGGGGGGTGGTGGCGGGATATATTCATTCCCTCGTGAGAAACAGACTCTCCTAAAGTAAGTGGATTTTGATATGATGAGCTATTGCATGCTAAATCACAACAGAAAAATATTTGAAGTTCCCCATAACTTAGATGTTGATAACCAAGATATCTCAAAGTTAACATGTCCATTCACCCCCACACCCCAAACTGCTCCTCATGTATCCTCCCCATTTCAGTTAATGGAGCCTCATCCTTCTAGCTGCTTAGGGCAAAAATCTTGAGTCATTCTTAATTACTCTTTTCTTTCACACCTCCATAACCAATCCATTAAAAACTTATTTTGGCTCTTCAATATATATCTAAAATGTTTATTTCACACCATCTTCATTGCTTCCACTGTGATCCAAGCCGCCATCACCTATCTCTGAATTACAGCAATTATCTTCTGTTTTCCATCCTACCTCCCGCTCTAGTCTCTTCTCAACATAGTATCCAAAGTGATCCTGTCAAAAACGGAGTACGAAGATCATGTCACTCCTCTACTCAAACAAATATCTTCCCATCCTATTCAGAGAAAAGGCAAAGCTCCTACAATGGCCTAAAGATCTCCTTGGTCTCACCACTCACTGCTCCAGCCAAAGTGGCTTGTTATTCCTTCACAATACTAGGTACATTCCCACCTCAGGGCTTTTGCACTTGTTTCCAGTGCCTGGAACACCCCCTCACCTCTTTCAGGGATTTATTTAAATATCAACTTCTTGCTGAGATGATCCTTGGCTACTGTATTTAAATTGAAAACTCCACCTCTACCCACCCTGAAAACACTATTCTATGTTTTTCTTCACACTTCAAACTGGTAACACACAAATAATGTTCTATGAGAATAGAATTTTGTTTTATTTACTGCTATGCCTAAAACATGGCCTGAAATACACACACACACACACACACACACAATTAAGAATTATTTGTTGAATGAATGCATGAATACACACGCTGGTTATTTTAAAGATGCAGACATACACAATCTTGAGGTCAAATTACTGATGGGTGTTTTCAAGTCATATTCCTTAATAATTTTGTCAACTATGATAAATGATTTCTACATTTCCTGGGTCTAAAACTCCCCAGGTTCTAATCCATAAATCACAATTCCAAAGTTAACACTAGATGGCACTCTTTAAAAGCATTCACCATGGAGACCTGTACTAGGAAGACCGTACAGTAGAGGAAAAATTATTTTAAAACACTTTAAAAAGTATACCTGTAACTCTTTAAGCGTATTTGGAATATTAGTGTACTCTGAAATTTAGGAAACCGTCAACATACTAAATTTCCTTTATATTCTAAATTCCTTAGGTTTTTTTGGGGGGGGATCAAAAGCAAAGCAGTCAAATATCTTTAAGTGTCTTGGTCCTCAGCTTCTTTGTTAAAGAGCTAATAATTCAGTATAACAAAAGGATATAGTTAGTAAAGTATGAACCTCTTGATAATGCAAGTAATCACTACTGTTTTATGTTTCTTTTATTAAAACATAACAGATCTGTACAATGGTTTGTTACTTCTTTAAAAGATTATCTAGAGGAAAATTATTTCATGTGATTTAGAAGCAACAACTTTTTAACCCATGGAAACCATTTGCTCCCTAGCTTATCTTTTTTTTTTTTAATTTTTTTGCACCTGTAATTTACTTTAAAACAAAATATTAAAGGGTGCTTATTAAAGCTCACGGGCAAAAGAAACCACATTTTCTAGGAAATTAATAATTTCCTTGAAGAGTTTCCTCCTGTAAATCTATTGCTGATAATTTACTGATCTTCTTAACTCCCTCTGCTGATAGTGGGATATGATACAGAAGATCCCTATGTGCTTCAAGAAGCAGATTTGAAAGAAAATGTGATAGATTTCCTCATTTGCCCAGCAGTCTAGGAGATAGTAATTACGAGACTAGTCCTGCTAACTCTCTCAAAAAAAACAAACAAAACTAAAACAATGTCATGCTATTTTACAGCTTGTGATTTAGGGTACGCGGAAATTAGAGTACATGTATATTTGCCACTTTCCAAGGCATATAAAAATAAGAACCTTGAGAATAGGCTTTTACATATTCTATAAACTTCTGTCACTATGAGCACTTAATAAATGCTAAATGTCAACAAAATAGAATAGCAATAACCTGCCCATGGAGATATCTAAAAATTAATGAGATGCCGGAGAGAAAATGCAAAGTAGTGTTGATTCTTAACATAATTTATTTTTCCAATATAGATGTTGGTGTTTTTTTATTTTGTTTTGTTTTTTCCTGGAAGATTAAAAATGTTACTTAATAATCGTGGAGTTAAAAAAATGACTCTCCCTGGGCAATTTCTTCCCATTAAATACTAATGTAATTTCTAAAATAAATATTAAGTATTAGCAAACCTGTACAAATCTATTGTGTTTTTGGTTTGTACATGTGTTTAATTTTTCAAGAGAGTAGAACATAGTTTTTGCTTTAAGTCTGCAGACATCATAGGCAAAAGAAAACCCTCTTCTCTTTTTTTTCTTCTCCATTTCTACCTAGAGGTTCCTTACATTATTATTTTTATGTCATGTGCTTTACAAAGATAGGTACTGGAGAATCAGCTTCTGGGTCTCCAGGGTTTCTGGGGCAGCTCCTGTTACTCCATATTACATTCCTGCCACGCACAGAAGTAGTGTCATCTGCTCAGCTGTGACAGGTGCCACACTGCCACTACTCCTGAGACAGAGTGAGAAAGCAGCAGATAAAACCACAGACATAGGAGCTGAACAGAGCTGATGGAATATACATCTCTTCCCTGGACATGCCAGTTTGTTTGGAAATGTTGCAGAGGGAATATAGAGATAAAAAGAAAATATTTAAACCTGGTTTCATTACTTGTGAATCTTCAAAGATATACATATTTTTTAAAGTAGGTTCCACACTGGGCTTGAACTCATGAGCCTGAGATCAAGATCTGAGCTGAGATAAAAAATTGGGCGCTTAACCAACTGAGCCACCCAGGTGCCCCTTCAAACACATTTTTAAACACAACTGAAGTAGTCACGGGTTTAACATTTTAGGCATTTACACCTTTGATTGTTGTATTCTCATTCTAATTAATATATCTTGGTGTTGATAAATTGAAATATTTCACATATGAAAGGGTAAATGAGTTTCACAGGGTTTTTAAAATCTAAAACCATTTTACTACTTCACTTCATGCATATGGATATGTAAAGACAGACAAAGAAAAAACATAATAAATGTACTGAAAATAAGCACCCTTGGGGGCACCTGGGTGGCCTCAGTTAAGCGACTGACTTGGTTTCGGTTCAGGTCACGATCTGAGGGTTGTGAAATCCAGCTTTGTGTCTGCTCCGAGCTCAGTGAGGAATCTGCTTGAGTTTCTCTCCATCTCTCTCTGCCCCTCTCCCACTCACATGCATGCACTCTCTCACTCGTTCTAAAATAAATAAATCTTAAAAAAGGAAAAAAATAAGCATACTTGTTCAGAAGCTGAAAAAACTTTTGAGTTTTGTGCTCAAAATTCAAGTCTGGATCTAGGGCTACTAAATATTACATAATGGATAAATAGCTAAGTTATATATTACCTAATAAAGACCAAAAAGTGTACCATGCAACAAAATATTGTTTATCAAATAAGAAATTATCACTGTGCCTGGAATTTCACAGGAGCTTAATAAATGTTAAATGACTGAACAAAAAATACAATTCTAATAATATCACATACACTTTATTGTCCACCAACTATGTGCTAAACACACACAACTTTTATACGTTACTTCTAATCCTCACAATCCTTACGTTTTAATTCCATTACATGGATGAGAACTGTCCATCAATACAAAAGCATTAATTGACTCTATAAAGGAATCTTATCTGAAAACATTTAGGAATAGCTATTTTTCTAATATAAATAGCACTATTTTATAAACTTAAAATTTCAGAAAGTGAAGCATATTGCAATTTTATTGCAGCAACAATTTCACGAAAGTGAAACTCATCAGAAATTACATTATTCTATGCAATTGTGCTGTCTCAGTAATCCTTGATAAAAACCTCTGTTCTAAAAGCAATCATCTGACAATGAAACTTTTTGGTAGTTCCTTCCTGATTCCCTTTATTGGATCCTCCACAAACCTCTTAGCAATCTGTGGCTCAGTGCTTTGCCCTGTTCTCAATTACACTCACTCCTTTGATTACTGGTATTCAACCTTTTCATCATGCAACACAGTAAGACTTTTATTATGCAATTCATTATAGCGAATAAAAAGGATCACGAATAAAACTGAAACCAAAGGATCATGAAGAAATATCCTACTACATGGGATATATCTGATTTTTTTTATTCTGTGCTTTTCTTCCTTCTGTTCCTCCTCCCCCTCCCCTTTTTTTAAATACTGGTTAGGGGGCGCCTCGGTGGCTCAGTCGGTTAAGGGTCTGATTCTTGATTTTGGCTCAGGTCATGATCTCATGGATCATGAGATCCATGAGATCGCCCTGCCTTGGGATCCCCACTCAGTGAGGAGTCTGCTTGAGATTCTCTCTCCCTCTGCCCCTCCCCCTCCCCCTGTGGGGGGGGCTGGCCCTCCCCCATACTCATGCTCCAGCACACTCCATCTCTCTAAAATATATAAACAAACAAACAAACAAATAAATAAGCTGGCTAGTACTCACTAAATTGATTTCATGACCCATTAATGGGCCACAACTCACAATATAACAGTACTATTCTAGGTGATCTCCAATACCACAGGTATAAATATAATCCATGGCTCCTATTTTTATCTCAATCACATCATTTCCCTTGAACTTCAGACCCCAAATGCTACTTGACATCTTCCCTTGGACATTTTTCTAAACCTGTTCTCCCTCCCTTAGTAGTCCCCTTATGGATAAAATGACACCACCATTCACCCACATGGTCAGGCCCTTAATTCTTAAGTCTCACTCAACTCATTTTTTCTCTCATAAAAGCTACTATTTCTACCTTTGAAATATATGCTAAATCCAACTTCTTAGCACCTCTACTACTATCAACCTAACCTAAGTCATATAAACTAAGTTTATAGAGACTAATACAAACATCTGTTAACAATTTTTCTCCATTCTCCAATAGTCAGGGTGATCCTTTAAACATATTTGTCAGTTCACATGCCCGGCTCACAACCATCCAATGGCTCCCCAAAACAGTTAAAATAAAATCCAAATTTCCTATTATAGCCTATGGCTACCATGACCCTAGCTATCCTTTTCTGAACTGCTCCCCTACTTCTGCTCCCTCTTGTTGACTCCTCTCCAGCTAGTTCTCCCTGCTGTTCTTGGAAGAAGCCAGGAACGCTCCCAGTTGAGAGTTTTTTTGTACTTGCTGTTCCTTATGCCTAGCTTACTCCCCCTTTCATTTCACTGAGATCTCTGAATAGTAACTCAGGAGCAGCCTTCCCTGACAACCTGAATTGAAAAAGCACTCCCATTACCTCCTAGGCTTTTATCCGTTTTTTTTTTTTCTTTCTTTCTTTTTAGCACTTACTACCCAACCTCTTATCTCCAATGCTTAAGAGTACTCAAATTTTAGTTTAAGAAATAAATGAATGAATGTACATAAACAAGTATTAGTAATCATTGTAATGACAATACTATTGAGAACTTAAGTCTTGGTACATTAGCCTCATTCTTCTTTACACAATTCTTCCAGATGAATAAATCTATTTTAAGAGCCAACTACATATAAATTGAAATGAAGAAACAAGGTGACCTCTGTGATTGGAACTGGAAAAAGTATAACTTGAATCCATCTAAACTTGTAAAGAAAGTATAGTTTTTGTATATACAGATATTGAGTCAGGAGAACTAGGAACCTAACTAGATTTTATATACTTACTTAGCAATAGAATATTTATACACCAAGAAAAATAATGGGTAAGAGCCTAGACTCTGGAGCTGACTGTGTTCAAATCCTGGTGCTGTTATTTAATAGCAATATAGAACTTTTCTGTACCTTAGCTTCCTCATTTATAAAATGGGGACAGTAATATCAGATTTACCATAGTGTGCTGTGAGAACCTAGCAATGCTTATCACATTAGTAAGCCTGTAAATAAATACTAGCTATTATTATTCATTTGTAATTTATCTCAAAATTCCTTATTAACACTATTAAACGAGTTTTGACTGGCAAGCCACAAATTATGCTTTATATTTCCAAACTTCTCATGAAAGATAAGGGATTCATATCTAATTGAAGCCTCCCCCCGCCCCCGCAAGTACTGAAAAAAACTGGTTACTGTGACAGGAAGTCACAAAATGGCAGAATATGTGATACCCTAAGCAAATACCTGCTTATATTGTACAAAATAAATAGTTCAACAGTTTACAGGTATGAAATTATATTTTTCTGAAAGATTAAAAAAATTTTTTTTAAAGATTTTATTTATTTATTTGAGAAAGAGAATGAGAGACAGACAGCACGAGAGGGAAGAGGGTCAGAGGGAGAAGCAGACTCCCTGCCGAGCAGGGAGCCCGATGCGGGACTCGATCCTGGGACTCCAGGATCATGACCTGAGCTGAAGGCAGTCGCTTAACCAACTGAGCCACCCAGGTGCCCTGAAAGATTAAAATTTAAACCCATTTAAATTCCTTACCACATCCAATGTTCAATATTATGAATATTGGAACTTAGATTGTGTTTTATACATTTCACAAAATAACACAATTTGGTTGCAATCTCACCCTATTTTCTTACTATCTATCTATATTTTATATATATAAAAGCTTGCCCCTACAGAGTTAGATAGCAGCTAATTACCTTAGATAGTAAAGGTTAAATAAGGAAAGAAAAAAAGCTGAGCTGCTTCAGTGCTCATTATTATGTAATGTGGGGATGCATATAGTTAAGTCCTAAAGGACAAAGTTCAATATTTAAAATTAGCTGTTTTCTTATCTGGGCAAAAAGGGGGGAGGAACTGTTTAAGAGCGAAAAAGCTTACTGCAACTTTAGCCATAAGGGAAGTGTGTCATCTCTATGGTGAATCAGGAAATCATCTGCTGCCACAGAATCATAATACTTGCGGCTACACCTGACCTCATAATTAATAGGGATCACAGCATAAAATGCTAACATGTTAGAAGTGTCAGCAAGCCCGAAATTACTGAATCCCCATAGCAAATATCTATGCTTGTTATGATCTAAATGGTTTAAATCCTTGTATTCTAAGTACTAATCCTAACAGAATTCAGTAGGCTACTTTGAATATTTGAAGATATAAACAACTTATATTAAGGAATTGTATATACTACAAGTGTTTTAGTTGACTGGCCTACAGAATTTTTAAGTTTCAAGGTCTGCTTAATTGTTGCTATTAGAAAGGCTAATTGGATACTCAGTATTCTTATTTCAAATCACAGGTGATACCAAAGCTACAAAGTAAACACAGGTTGGTGGTGGTGTTTTTAAACTTGATGGACCCAATATTACAGAAGTTCAAGTCTGAGCTTCGCTTAAAGCAGGCAAACATATAGAAGTGTAAAATAATAGTAATAGAAAAGCTGATAAAAATAATTCTCAAATCTCACCGATCTCATTACAGACTTGTTTTTAAAGTTAGACCTCGTAAAATAATGTCTTCAGGTATAACTCAAACATAATTTCACGTAGTGAGTATGCATGCCCTAAGGCAAACCTCTTAGTAATGTATACTCCCCACCAGAGTTAAGGAAAAAAAACTCACATAGCTTAAAGTTTGATTTATTACATATAACAGCAAATCATTCAGTTGTATTTATAACAAAGAATTTATTTTCACAATATTTAAATGACCATGTTTACAATTGCCACATCACTAATTCTTGCCAGCTTTTTCATTTTCTCTAATACTTTTTGTATAGATAAACTTAGAAAAAGTACTACTCTATTAAATCAATAATTTAGCACAAGATATATTATCAAATGCTGGCATTTCCTTGGTATTCAAGAATTTATGACAAGAAATGGGACCTCGGGCTTAAGAATAAAGGGGAAAAAACGAGCCACCTAATCCCAAACCAGGTAGAGTTGGGATGGGAAGTGCGGGTGTTAGTAAATGCTTCTGAAGCCAAAGCAATGTTCATGCAAGTTTAACTCAAACTTTCTACGCAGAAGTTTAAAACCGAACTGAGACACTGCTTTGATAGTGTAACAGAAACGAATGGCCCCAAACAAAGCAAGTCCTTTGTAGCAACTGTTAAGCAGTATTCACATACAACTGCTTTCTCCAACCAGGAAGGCAATGGCATGAAAAACTAAGTGCCAAAGAGAAAAAAAAGTTAAAGGTGCCAAAAGGTCTTAAAAACTACACTTAGCAGCAAACGGCAAACGACCCCACAAACTCCTGCAAAAAGAAGCTGCTCCATTCCCCCCTCAGCAGAGGAAGCCACGGGGACTGGCCCTGGGAAACCTGAGAAGGGGCCCGGAGCCCTCGACCAGCTCTCTCAGAAGCTGTGACTGTCTAAAAGACTGAGCGGCTGGAGAAAGATCGGACCACTAATTCCACGCCCTTGCCCTTCCCATCCCCGTCCTCCCCATCCCGCAGCGTCAGCCCTGTCGCCTCCGGATGCCACGAGTACTCAGGGGGATCAGGGGGACTGAGGAGCCGGCGGCCTGGGCGCCCTCTTTACCTGGTCGCAGAGGCGCGGCCAGGCAGGGAGGGTGCGTGAGCGTGTCAGCGACACAAGCCTCCTGCGCCTACCCACCCCGCGCGAGCCAGGTTTCCGAGGCAGCTTCTGCGAGTCTTCTCCCACGGACCACTGGCTGCCAGAAAGGCCGGGAGAGAAACAACAGGCACAGCGTCTTGGAAACAGCCGCGTCGGCCGTCATTCATAATCCGGCGGACCGGAAACCGACAGTTACGTCACTTCCTACCGTCGCACAGCCAAAAAGTTCCCCTCTTCACGCTGCTGCAGGAACCTTTGTTTCCCCTTACTGGGAGCCGGCTAGTTCCGGGAGCGGTTCGGAAGGGGCCTCCGGGAACGGACGGAGCAGCGGGGCGGAGCGGTGAGTTGTGACGAGCTAGCCGGCTCCCAGCCGCCTCTGGGAGGCTCGAGACCTCCGCGAGGGGCAAGGTGGGAGAGTAGTTGCGTGGGGTCTTAGTTTCCTCGCTCCTTATGGGGAAACCTCGTAATTTGCGGGCGGTCGCGTGCCCCAGGCTGACCGCTCTCTCCCTTCAGCTAGGGTTGTTTCCTCCTAGGGTATTAAGGGCTAGGGCTTGTCGGCTGAGGCACGGCCCCAGGGACCAAGTCCCTGGAACCCTGTCTCGGACCTTTCTCGGAAGGTTTTGGCGACTTCTCTGTGCAGCTCCCTCTTTCCGCCTCTTATCTTCTCTCGGGCTCCCTCCTCAAAGACCTTACCCCGTGCTAGGCCTTCGGTGTCATGTTTTGATCAAAGGATTGGCATTCCTTTTCTGAGCGTCTTCTGTCCCTTTTCAGCTTCTCTGTCACTTGGTTGATTTGGAATCCTGGAATCGTGGTTTTTCCGCTTCCCCTGCGTTTCCAGACGTGTCCCTAAGATTTCAGTGTAACCCAGGGCCAAGAATCCAGTAGAGGATTGAAATGGGCAGCATCTTGAAAACGATTTTTATTGGAAGGGGTTGCAAGAGCTTCCAAAGACATAGAGGGCAAAGCTTTCTAGAGCCGTTATGAGATGGCAACCCTAATATTGCACTCGGTGTGAATAGGTTCAGTTTCTTTTATCTTGTGCACATGCAGATAGATGATCAACTTTGGACTTTTTTTTTAAGATTGGCATGTAGGGTGAGAAATGGGACCTAGGGCAAAGCATTATGAATATCCAATTTAGGTTGGAGAGATCACGGATGCCCCAGAAAGTGATATTTAAACAAAACCTAGTTCATTCATTCAATATTTTTGAGAGCCTAATTTTTAAACACTAGATATATAACTAAATAAAATAAGCCCTTGCCCTCATAGAGTTACAGTCTAGTGGGATTAATGAATTTAAGTCAGGTAAAGGATTGGGAAGAGAGTATTGCAGATAGGAACATAGTACAAATCTCTAGTATTGGAATTACATTGCTTTTCCTGTTGCTTTTTTGATGTTTGAGGGGTTTGGGGGGGCAGGAGGTGCAGGGAAGGTGGGTTTGAGTTTCTTATTGCTCTTTGCAAAGGGCCTTTGTAAATGGTTAGAATTGTGAAGAAGGAGGGAAAAGACCATTATACTTTGAACCCTAATCACCAGCAAAGTGATAGTCAAAAAGATAAATATAGACTCCTCCCCCCTTAAAGTACTCGGTTTTATAGGGAATATAATACTTTAAAAAAAAAAAGTATGGTTCAAAGTAGAAAGTCCTAGTAGCACAAGAAAGCACTATATGAGATATCGTAGGAGGGAGAGATTATTAGTAGTATTTGGGGTGGAAAAGGACACACCATTGGTGAATAGAATCCTCATGAGAAATAATATTTGAACATAGAATTTGGACATCTAAAAATGGGTAAAAAGCTTCCCAGAGAGAAGAGTAAGTAGAGGTGTCAAGGCCAGCTAATGGCTCTGCTGTAAGGAAAATCTATATGAACATTAAAGTTTTTGTGCCAGTTAAGGAGTCTTTTTAAATGGTAGGTGAAGAAATTGGGCTTTATTTTGAAGACAGTAGGAAGTTTTAATTTTTGAGCAAGAAAATGAAAAAGAAAGAAAAATATGGGGAACATTAATATGACAACAGTGTTGAAGTCAAGGAGAATAACTAGATTATTGCTATAATAAAATTTATAAAGACATGAATTTGAGTAGTAGCAGTGGGAGTGAAAAATGGAACAAATGTGAGAAATGTTACAGAGTCAGAATCCATAGGGAAGGCCTGCTGATTGTTTGGTAATAAGGAATAAGAGAGGCCTCTGTGAGGGAAGGATGTAGGCCTCAGGCTGGAATAGCAGAGAGTGTGTCATTCATTGAAAAAAGTGCAGGACAAGGAGGAACTTTTGGGTGAAGGTATTCATAATCTCAGTTTTAGTCTTAACTGAATTTGAGATACCTTTAGGGCAACCAGCTAGGCATATCTACTAAGCAATTGGAAATGTGGGATTTGAGCTTAAGTGAGATTGGAGTGGTGATAAACATGAAAGCATCTGCCTAGAGGTGATAGTTAAAAACATGATACATAGATGATAACCAAGGGAGAATTGGATGCAGAACTAAAGAAAATAGACAAGGACAGATACTTGGGCAATACCAAGAATGACAGAGCTGAGAGGATGAACCAGAGTAAGAGTAGTCAGAGATAGAAGAAGAAAACCAGAAAAGCTGAGTGTAATAGAAATCAAGGAGGAGAAAGTTTTTGAAAGAGGAAATGAATAATATGTGTTCACTTGGCCAGCATTTAATGAATACTTGCTACCTGCCAGGCACTCTGCTAGGTACACAGTTAACAGCAGTAGTAAGATCAGTCCAGTGCTGGTTGTTGTGGACTTTACATTCTAGTGAGAAAGACAGACACTGTTTACATAATTGGCAGTGTAGTAGCTATTACAAATAAGTGCAGGGTGTTTGGGGACCATGTAACAGTAAGATTTCTTATTTTGTTGGGGGAATGTGAAAAAAAAAAAACTACTGAGGTATAAAGGATGAATAAGATGGGTATGGGACACTTTCTACTAAAGTGCTGAGGTGAGAAAGAATATAAAAACTTGAAAGACTTGAAGTAAGTTATGTGGCTACAATAGAGAGTGGGAATAGCCTGAGATATTAGGTAACATTTAATGAGTGTACTCTGTGCCAGGTACTCTTGCAACTACTTTACATGTATTACCAGACCTTATAGGGCATTAGAAACCTTAAGGATCTTGTTCTTTAACCTTCGGACAGAGAGAAGTGAAAAGACCATTTAACCAAGTGAGTGATATAGAAGGACATGGAGGGGGACAGGAGTGGTTGTGGGAAGACTGATTAAGCTATTATGGTGGGCCAGATAATGGATGATGGTAGCTTGGTCTAGGGTGGTGGTAGTAAGGATTGAAAAAGGTAGATGAATTTGAGATATATTTATGTGGTTTGGTGA